CTAAAATACGTAATTGCTATCGAAAACTCTTTCACTGTGAGCCCATTCACGCCATCATAGGATTCGACTTGTTAACACACGCAAGAGTAGCATGAAACTTACAAAACAGCACTATTAATTACCAAAACAAATTTTAACAAGTAAGGAAGGGCTAAGTTCGGATGTAACCGAACATTTTATACTCTCGCAAAGTCAAATGGTATACTCGTTTGAGATTTCTTTGTGGATTGACTGATAATTTCGGTAGAAGGTCAACTATAGGCACTGGGGTCCACATATTTAGTACTTAGGGGTTTGAACAGTTTTGGTTCGATTTAGACAATTTTTGACCGCAGGGTGGCATACTTTAATTGCATTATTCACGCAAAGTTTTACCCCGATATAGTCATTGTTACCTGATTTGCATAGTGGAAAGTGAAAGAATCAGATGGCATTGAAAATGGTGTTACATGGGAAGTAAGCGTGATTGTAGTCCGATTTCGCCCATTTTCGCACTATGACATAGAAACATGAAAAGAACGTTATGCATCGAATTTGGTTGAAATCGGTTGAGCAGATCTCAAGATATGGGATTTCACCTAAAAGTGGGGTGTGCCACGCCCACTGACTAATTTTGAACGCGGTTACTATAAAGCCAATTTATACCATCTCAGAGATAAAATTTAATGTCTCTGGCGTGTTTAGTGCTTGATTTATCGCGCTTTTAGTAGTTTTTAACAGTACCGTTATATGGGGAGTGGGCGGAGTTGCCACCCGATTTCAACTATTTTCACACCGTCAATAGAAGTGCTAAAAACATTTGCTTTTAGTGAATTTTGCTATTATAGCATTAGCGGTTTGGGAGATATGCACATTAAACCTATTAGAAGCGGGACCACGCCCACTTTTTAAAAAAAAGTTTTAACTGCAGATGCCCCTCCGTAATGTGATCCTGTGTACCAAATAACAGTCTTGTATCTTATTGCGGAGCTTAGTTATGACAAGTTATTTGTTTTTGATTAATGGCGTTTTGTGGGCGTGGCAGTGGTCCGATTACGCCCATCTGCAATACCAACCGTCTCACGGTACGAAGAAACATGTCTACCAAGTTTCATAAAGATATCTCAATTTTTACTCAAGTTAGAGCTTGCACGGACGGACGGACGGACGGACAGACAGTCACCCGGATTTCAACTCGTCTCTTCATCCTGATCATTTATATATATATAACCCTATATCTAACTCGATTAGTTTTAGGTGATACAAACAACCGTTAGGTGAACAAAACTATTATACTCTGTAGCAACAGGTTGCGAGAGTATAAAAATTACAATACCATTACTGTGACAAAGGCATTACCGTTTAACACAGCAGGCATTGCTACGATTCACTCTGTAGACAACGAACCAACGAGATTTCGTAAATAATGAAATCAAACAATTACTTAAAGATGGATACCATCCATTAGACCATCAAAGTCTCCATACAACCGCCCAGCTTAGGTTGTTGACAAAAAAGGTATCGATACTAATGGCAATAAAAATTAACGATTAGTGATCGACGTAAGGAAGCTAAACGAGCGAACTATAACCAGTCCTATGCAGTCCTAACCCATTACCATGATTTCACGAACGCTTAAACAAAGCGAATCGCACTATACCACAAATGCAAGGAAGTTGTTAGCCATTGTCTGGGCTTTAGGCAAATTGCGAAGTCATCTACAAGTATATTTGTCAAAATCTCCTTATATTCGCAGTTTCAGACAGAAACACTAATGCAAAAATTAAAAGATGGGAATCATACATTGGTGAGCACAGTGCAAAATTATTTTACAAACCAGGCAAGGAAAACTTAGTAGCAGATGCCCTGTCCCGACAAAACGTAAACACCTTCGAGGATAAGTTCCATGCAACGATTCACAGCGAGCTATCGTTAACCTACACGGTTGAAGCTATTAAAAAACCTTTAAATTGTTTCAAAAATCAGATTGTTCTCGAAGACGCAAAGTTTCCATTAAAACGGGACTATAAGCACTTTGACAAAAGAAGACGACATCAAATAAATTTCACAGATAAAAACACTCTATTCGACTATTCGAGAGGATCAATCCACTAATTAATACAAACACGGTAAACGCGATATATTGCGATTCAGCAACATTAGCCAGTATACAACACAATTTGGTACTAAATTTTTATCAAGAAAATTCTGGCATTTTAAAAATGTCGTGATAGATATTACCGACAAAAATTAACAGCTCGAAATCGCCATCACCAAACATAACCATCCGCATAGGACCGCTCAGGAAAAAGTGAAGCAAATACATCGTGATTATTATTAGTAATAATAAATTGCAAAATATGCACTAAGACAAAAAACAAACACTTGGGGTGACTCCAATTCAATAATTTGCTGGAGAAATGTTCCACTTTGATATTTTCACAACAGATTAAAAATTATTCTTGACTTGTATCGACAAATTCACGAAATTTGCTGTTGTACAACCGCTTGCGTCTCGTACGATAGTCGATGTAAAAATGCCCATTATTCAACTTCTGAATTTATTCCCACAAACAAAGACAATATATTGCGACAATGAAGCTTCCTTCAATTCAGAAACAATAAGATCATTTTTAAAAAATGGATATGATATTGACATTGTGAAGGCACCACCGTTTATAATTGCTTAAACGGACAAGTGGAATGCTTCCATAGCGCACTTGCAGACATAGCTAGAGCATTTTAACTAAAAAAGTATCTGACGAAACAATTGAATTAACACTGAAGCCAACAATAGCATGCAACCGATCCATACACTTGGTCATAGACCAAAAACCAATCGATGTAATATACGCAGCAGCTATTGAACTTAGGCAAATCATTAAAAACAAAATTTTAAGAGCACAATAGAATACTTTTAACCATGACGATTTGAGGTCCATTTTAAATGAGCACCCTGTGGAGGTCCCCATAGCTACCTTAACTGGAGTATCTAAAATTAAGATGTCACACAACCATGTCACACTACAGATTCAAGATGACACAACAACCTACGCCTCCGTTTGCAAATTAACGGAGCACCACACTCGTGTACGAGCATTACACGCTGGCATCACAGCCTTTTGTCGCACACAACCATTTAATCATCAACGATAGAACAGCAAAAATTAGCACAGACGAAGGTTCAGAGATTATTATAAACGAGACATATCTCATCACATTCCGTTCCGCTGCAATCTTCAATGACACAAAATATGTGTACTAGCGTGAAATCCTGAATAGAACTTCAAGGATAACACGGTTTCCTCTACTATATCATCAGTATTAAGCATGCCCCAACTCCATAGGATGAACAATCAGAACCTTCACGTCTTTATTACTTATCGTCATATGGCAAATCTTGAAGAGAAGACAAACGTCTAAGGAAGTACCAAGCGTCAATAGCTACAGAAAGCAGCATGAGATAGGAGTAGTTAACACATAATAATAATATAATATAGTAACTATACTCTCAGCTTGCATAAAATATCCGCTGGCGCATGAGGTATCCCCACAGCAGTAACCTGACACTTGCTTATATCGCAAGCGGCTGTGCTATCGCTTATGATGAGTCGGCATACTGCAACTTTGTAGTTCTACGTGCTCTGCTTTAGGTTTAGAAGTGAGTCTATTTGTATTCTCAATTTAGTTTGTATTTTGAAGTTAAAGTGTAACAATAAAGTATTAGCTCCGGAACTAGCCAAATTACCTCTACTTGGGACCTGTTAGTACTCATCGACTTAATTGGAATCCGTTGCTACTCATCAGCTTAATTTACACAGATAACCAAGTGGCATTGGTAGCCTTATCGTAGCCAAAGACAAACTACTCAAGCGTGGTCAACAAATGTAATAAGGCTTTAAGCTCACTGGCAGGTCCACTCCACGTAATTTGGGATCCCGACCATAAAACCATTTTCGGCTACAAAAAAGCAGAGAAGTTTCCCAAGTCAGAATCCTTTCTGCCCGCTAGGAATGATCAAGAGGGAGCTTAATACGTAATTTAAACAAATAGCTCACACCAGATGGAAATTTACAACCAAATGAAAAATAGCGAAAGAGATAAGGCTAAAATGTGACAAGGCAATGACTAATGACTTATTAAATCTGTCCAGAAAAAGTATATATAGAGTTACAGCCACCATAACAGGACATTGTCCAATTGGGGAACGCTTGTTTAAAATGGGAATGTCCACCCTTTTCACAATCCCGATGTAGAACTCTTGAAATCCATCAGGTACAAAACCTTGAATGTCTATCTACAAAAAGCATAACGGAGATATGAGGGTATCAAATGGTTTGAACACAACAAAGAAAGAAGAGAACAATGTTTAAAAGTTTTACGAATAGTGTATCAAAATGACGTATTTACCGCTAATTGAGCCCGAACGCTAATATAGCTGCCTTACATGGCTGCCGTACAAATTGATCGATCAAATTATGTCCTTTTATGAGAAGCTTTTTTATTTGACAAAATATTATATAATATCTTCACAAAGTTTGGTTTGTAATTTTATCCATGGCAACGGTACAATTTTCGAACAAATTGTTGATCAGTCCATTATAGCATAAAACTGCTAGACCAACTGACCGATCAAAATCATATTCTTGTATTGAAATTTTTTTTATTTGTGAAAGGTATTATAATTACGATATAACCTAATTTAACGTTTTTTTTTTACTTCCACGTTTTTCATATGGTAGGTGCATATTTTTTAAATAATCGATACTATTAAAAACGCAACTCAATTCATCTGTAAGAGAGACTAAATCACTAGTGAGGGAAATATCTGTTACGTTGTAATGAACATACTATTTTCCAACGAGTCGCAACTACCAGAAACTCCAATACATTATAGCACCTTTCAACTCATTATCCCTATGTGTAAGAAAAGGATGAGTGATCATCTGGTAGCGCTGTCTGATAATTAACTTCTAATTTAGGCGATAGTTGACTTCTGTCTGAATCCTTTGTGTACTTACATTTACTGGTGAATGTTTGTTGTCTCTTTCGATTTTCAAGGAAATCTATCTCCCCTAACCATCCGCCGGGTCCGCTAATGTACTCCAATCTTTCAATATATTTATTTTGTACCTACGAAAGAAATATAAATATATTATTGGTACAAGATAACCTTAATTGTTATTTTCCATTGTTTACTGAATTCCATTTTTTCGTCGTCACAGTAATGTCGCCAGTAAGCACAAAATAAACCGACTCTGGCTTCCTTCCCTGTTCCATTATTTTTCGTTTCGGGCCAAGAATTATGAAATATGCATACGGTGCCAAGCGCGCTCGTAACTTCTATATTGATTCGTATAAAAATATATTTATTTATTTTATATCCTAATATTATATTTACATATGTACAAAACAGTTATTGAAAGTCGTAAACACATGCAAGCAGAAATCTTAAATTAATTTTGTTAAATTTAAAAAGATAATCTATACTATAAAACCAGAAAAAACGTTAACTTCAGTTGAACCGAAGCTATAAAACCCTTCACAAATACAAAGGTGCCTCACAAAACTTGATTTCGATTGTTCAATTTATATAGCAGCTATATGATATAGTGATCTGACCTGAACATTTTCTTCGGAAAAAGATTGTAGCCTTAAACAATAACTCGTGACTAATTTTGTGAAGATCATCGTCAAATGAGAGAACAGTTTTCCATACAAGCACTTGATCGTTGTTGTTTTAAATAATAATCCATCTCAAATTTCGTGAAGATATCACGTCAAATGAAAAAGTTTTCCATGCAAGCACTTGATTAGGATCGTTCAGTTAATATAGCAGCTGTGTGCTATAGTCATCCGATCTATACAATTTCTTCGGAGATTGCATTATTGCCTTGAATAATAATCCCTCCCAAATTTTGTTCAGATATCTCGTCAAATAAGAGTTTCCTCTACAAGTACTTGATTCCGATTGAGAGCGCTTAGATGCTGTATACAGTTAGTTTTCTCTGGTGTCCATCAAAAATTATTGCAATGGGTTAGCAACGATACATTTGAAAGTGAACGTGGTTTATACATGCATGAAGTGTTGGGCATGAGAGGGTTCCTGCATTTGCTGATTATGGGCAACAAGCACAAGCGTGAGAATAATTTACAGTAGTGCGTTTCGTAAGTCGTGCTGACCTCCGACGAAACATGACCTCCCTAGTACATATATACTATTAACAAAGGAATTGTCGAAACAGTAGATTTTACCCGGATAACCTACTACTAACTAAATCTCGATAGCATCGTCCATGTTTCTGCGCAGGATAATGTGACGGTAGTAATGGGAGACATGGCGGGTTCTAAACCCAGCGACACAACCTTAGCTGGAGAGAAAGCGTCATTTATTACGTATGATATACCTATATTTAGGATTGAGTATGGTAGCTCAACTATGGCTGAATACCCAGAGTAACTGCCACACCCCAATGCGTTAGTTATAATTGAAAATAGTCGGAAAAGAGCCCGAAACCGAACAAAGTTTTTTTAAAATGATATGCGAATAATACGATGCGAATGCTTAAATTTTTTTGAAAATACGTTATTTAGCACCCTGTTTTATACAAAATTTGAAAAACAAAAAAATTTAAATAATAATAAAACACAATTACAATTAAAATAATAAAAAAGTATACCAACAAATTAAGGAGTTGAGCACCAATTTTTGTTCATTCATATAGCTTTGTAAACCTTATTTCAAAAAGCAATTAAATTATGATATCTTTAAAATTTTTTCCCTACAAAATATATGATATCTGCTTTTGCTTCCATTTTATACTCACCTTCTTCGGTAGTTATTGATCTGATTTATTTTCGGGAAGACTTTAATAGGACGTAAGCTATTATCGCATATTAACCTTCGAAACGTGTTGGGGATGAAATCTTTAGCGAAACCAACAACCAACCTTATTAATTAAGGCGGCGTGGGGCTTACAGCGAAACCAAAATAATGAAATTTAAATCAAAATCAACTCATAAATTTATATTTACTTGCACATGTTGTCCCATTTGGTGGGGTTTTGCTGAATAATTTTATATGACTTAGTATGTTATATTATATATTGTAGTTTTGACAGATAAGTTTTGCCTAATTCCGTTTTTAGTATATATTCTTCTCCTTTAACTAAGTGTACATTGACTCAGCCTTTGTCCCTCCACATCTGAGCTTGCATCAGCCGGCTCCCGTAGAATGTAGAAAATCAAACCCTTTCTACATATGTTATATGTGCCTCGGTATTCCTCTTTCTTATTTGTGACAATGCTTAGAAGGTCCAACAAGTTTTGAACTGCATTAGAGAGGATAATAGACTCAAAAATTGAATAAGTTCAATTCCGTATCGAACATTTTGTGCGACAAATTTGTCTTCAAAGACATTAATGATCAAACAACGTCACTATCAATGGCGTCGTAGCGAAGGAAATCAACACTTCATTCCGATGAACTTTGTGTGATCGATTAGTATCCAAAAAATAGTTTATAAAAAGGTGTCTGAGTCATTAGATTTTACACCGTTAGACTGCTTATGTGAGGGTACTTCAAGTCAATGATAAGCCACCTCCATCGACTAGTTTGAAATTCTGCGCGTTATTGACGAGATTAAAGGGAGAAAGTGGTAAAAATTTATACGACAAGTTAATCTTCATAAGACAGCTCCTATGTTCATAAAAACATGAAAATAAACATTTTGTTACCATAAGTTAAAATTATCTACAGAAAATTATAATTTTGACACATGTATGTAAGGTAACAAAATATAAATTTTGTTAGACAGTATACTGTGCTATGCTTAATAATGTTCATGAATGCAGGTATAAAATTCGGCAAAATGTAGAACGCCACCTTTACCGCTACCCACTACAAGAATGTCAAACTACAACTAAAGGAATTTAGCGACGCTATTAGCACGACGCTATTTATAGCGTTATATAAATTTCAATTTTTAATTCATATATATCAATTACTATTATTATTATATATATATCGTTTTCTAAATAAAAAAATTGAACAATTCCTTTTGATAAAACTTACACATACCAAAAAGGTATATACCTATGTTACGGATTAGTTATTAGTAAAAAAAAAAATTTCCTATTTTATATCGTTTTATAAACAAAAAATAAAAAGTTTGATAAAACTAACTCCTGCAAAGAAATGTATTATATATATGCATATTCAAATTCAACATGAAACAAAAGCAAACTTAACTAACTAACTCTCCTGCTAATCCACCAATTACTGAGCAAGTAACCGTGACACCAGAATTAGAAGAATAGTTCGAAATGTATGCCTCACCGAGGGCATCAGGCCCACCAGACATATTGAACTTAACTGTACACATGAAATAATTAATAGCGAGTTTAGGCAAAATATTGGTGAACTAAACAAAGTTCCTGACGTAGTTCGCTGCCTTAGAGGGGAACCTAATCGAATATAGTTCTTCGAAGAAGAGCATTGGTCATATTTTAATGTTAAATGAACCAATCCGAAGAACACCCAAATATTTTGGTATTATAAATACTATAAGAAATACAATAACTGGAACTGCTGATAATGTCTTGGAATGGAGTCGTCTAATACTCCATTAAACTGGAACAGTATTTCACGTTGTTTGACTCTACATTATACAGGCAAGCGCGATCTCGGCACACTTGAATACTAAATGCCTACTCTCGCACAAGGCAACAAAACGGTTGAACAGTTCTATCAAGTCGTGTATGAACACCTATCTCTTATTATGAACAAAATTTCTTGCATCCATGAATGTCGTAATAGGCACATACCGCGATAAGGCTTTAGATACTTTTATTAGAGGTCTTAAAGGTGACCCAACGCGGTGGGAATGAGAGAACCAGTAGACCTATCACAGGTTTTATATCTCTGTACAAAATTAGAAAGTCAAAACTTTAGGGCTCAGTATGTCAGACATAATAGTAGCATTTCTCCTGTAGTTCATACTCCGATATGCAAGCTCCATACATTCAGGCCCCTCATCCATCTTAACCAGCACCATAAACACACTAAAATTTTCATCTCAATAGTTCAGAAACTGAAAAAGTCCAATACCAAAATATCAAAAATGATAATTACGGACAGATATTTAATGAATATATAAACGAAACAAACTTAACAAACGAGACATTTCCTGACGGATCTGAAGTTTTTACAGACATACATTTTTTAGGTTAAGCAATTCATCGATACCATGTTTCGAGTGCTAAGCCACAAGCTGTGAATTGCTCAAATTCCTCATCGATACTGGCTCGAACAGAAATTACATATAACTGAAACTCGTTTAAAATCCCATCCCTAATAAAAATATATCCTACGAAAATTCAATAGCTGGTAATGTTAAGTTAACATACAATGGTAAATTCATTCAAACAAAACGATATCAACATTAAATTATTTTTATTACCATTATTTATGGAATTATAGGGAATAACAGTCTTAAGGACTATCCGCCTTATTCACACGAAAGAAAACTATATGCTCATCTGCAATAACTACAAAATCAAAACTAAGCAACAACCTGCAAATTTCTTAAATAATATTGGCATCAGCACAAAGCACATGGCTGAACAAGAAAACCTTCATATCGAAAGATTAATAAGACAATACGCGACTTTATTTGCTGAGCCAGACGAAAAGCTTACATTCACAACTATGTGCACTTTTACATTGGGACTCTTTTGAGTCTCAAACCAGTTTATTGTGGGCGAGGGGACGACGAGGCAAGACGAAGGGACCGTGCCACTTGTGTTCGGGTGGCACGCTTTGTGTTCTTGTTCGTAACAGCTCACTGCTACCCTTTTCAGCATTCCTTTTCACTTTCAAATCCTTTGAATGGTTGCAAGAGCCCTCGGTTTCAAATGAATTCGATCGCAAATTTGAATTCTGTTATCTATTTTTTGTATGTAATATGCAAATATGTATGCATAGAATAATAGAAATATTTTCAAAAATTGTAAATAAGGAGAAAATTAAGATATAGATTATGGAGTAAAGAAATTATGAATTTTTAATAATTAAAGATTAGGAAATTCCTATTATGAATTTGGCCTTGAAAATATTAGTAGCGGATATTCAATACATTCTTGTGGATTAGGGAATTCCCGTCTTTAGTATTTCTTTGAAACTATTTAGCGGGTAGGTACTTGTATTATGCATATTGTTCTACCATATTCATGGTAATTCATTCCAAGCAAAATGTGTGACCATCATCTCAACATACAAATGAAATACGCAGCACGCAGTGTTGCGCAGTCGAACTGCACAAATATTTACGAAAATTTTGTGA